TTCATACTTTTGAACATATTTAGCTTTATTTTGAAAGTTTTGCCCCATTCAAATGAATGGGAAAACTCTACTTCAGCATACCTTCAGCTATTTCAGCAATCAACATGTTCAGCTTTTCAAGGACATTCATGCTTCTCTTCAGAATGTTCTAAACTTCATACTTTTGAACATATTTAGCTTTATTTTGAAAGTTTTGCCCCATTCAAATGAATGGGAAAACTCTACTTCAGCATACCTTCAGCTATTTCAGCAATCAACATGTTCAGCTTTTCAAGGACATTCATGCTTCTCTTCAGAATGTTCTAAACTTCATACTTTTGAACATATTTAGCTTTATTTTGAAAGTTTTGCCCCATTCAAATGAATGGGAAAAATGTTCACATGTTAATCATTTTAACTGTTATCCATTCAGCAACTCTTCAGCTATTCATAATGTACACAGCTTTTTGATATCTCTTATTACAGTTTTTGCATAATTGCTGTTTACATTTTATGCCTCATTTTAACATCCACACCCTAGTAGTCCTCAGGGTGTAGGACCACTCACTCTCTCTCTCTCTCTCACACACACACACACACACACACACACACATACACCTACTTGTTTTACCTACTTTGTGGGCCATTGGGAAAATATTCACAGCTTAATAAGTTCAGCATACTTTCAGCTACAAAAGCCATCCAGCTATCAAAATGTTCAGCTCTTCAGGGGCATTCCTACAATATTCATATTTTTTCAGGGGCATTCCTACAATATTCATCTTTTTTCAGCTAGTTCAGCATACCATCAGCTAATAATTGTTAACTATTCAGCAACTCTTTAGCTATTCATACTGTAAACTGCTTTTTCATATATTTCATGTTTTTTGCATAATTGCTGTTTACATTTTCTATGGTGTCCAGTTTTCATGTCTGCATAGGAAACCTGAGACATCACTTGGATTTGTGTGGTTTACCTGGTAGCCACAAGAAGGGCCTGCTTGATCATTGTGACATACTCTTACCATGTCAGCATACCATACCTTTGGTATAGGTAAAACTTTATGTTGACAACCCTGTTGTACACATTCAGCTGGCACATTTACCTCTGTGCAGCTCTGAGGACTTTCTACTGCTTCTGTCAGGTTTGCCCGGCTGCACCTACTTTCTCACTCCCCTCTCTCTGTTTTCACTCCCTTACCCTGCTCACGTTTTCCTTCACACCTGTTTCTTACCCCCAGATTACCACCAGCTGCACCTGATTAGTTTCTCCCTATTTAGTCCCTGCTCTTTGTTCACTCCCCTGCCAGTTCTTTTCAGCATTTATCAGGCCCATTTGTTACCCGTCATTCTTTTGATTCTGTTCTAGCCACCATAACAGTGTGGCAGATATCAACATTCAGGTTGCCAAGGGTTCTTGACATTACATTGGATTTCAGCACAATTAGAGCTACAGTATGTAACTTTTTAAAACAAACATTGTTATTGTAGAAATATCTTTCAAAAACTGTCTTGAGGTGCTGTCGAAGCCTCCTGTGACCTACAGTAGGTTCATTGAACAGCACTGGCAGCAGTGCAGAGATTTTAACCTCTGTAACCAACCAGAGATTTTAAATTATTGTGCTTGATCAGTAGTTTCTGTTGCATTCTCATCTCCTAACTTCATAATGAGAAATATCTGAAGAGCTGGGCAGAGCGTGGTGGGAGTGGTAGATTGTAGTATGGACAGGGAGCACAGTGGACTGATTTGGAGTTTCATGTTAATGCTACCTTAAGTTACCCACTGTAGCTTTCTGGGTGAATTTCTCAGCAGTGGCATGTTTTTGGAGGAATGTTTTCTTCCAGTTTAATCTGCCAAGATTATTACCTTGACATCTGATTTGTTGACTACAAGTGCTTTCACCATTACCTGCAATTATAGAATTATTTATTATCAAACAGGTTTACATTGCACAGTACACCACAGTATGACATAAAAGGCAGACATTAAGTGATAAAATAGTGACGCGGATCCTAGAAGTGACTGTTGAGGCTTAAATCCTTATAAAATGGCAGGTGTTCATAACACAACTGAGAAAAGGTTGATGATTGATTAGACACTAAGCTGAAAACCCTAAACAGGGACCTCATTATGAATGTTTTCTGGGAAAGCAACACGTGTCCATGTGCAGCAAAGTGGTTTGTAGTGTTTCAGCCTCAATGCTACATTTACTTTCTGTTCACCCAATTAAATATAAAGTGGACAAAAGTACCATAAGTGAATAACACAATCACAAACTATTGTGACTTCTGCAACGTAAATGCATAAAAATTGTTATATATTCAGGAAGTTTGACTGAATTTAAAATGATTCACTTCTAGCACTATCTTAAAGCAGAAGCTCTCATTCATTGCATAAATTAGTTTCAGTTTTGCCTTTAGTGTATTTTTTGAAGCAATCAAACTGCTGGGAATCTCTCAATCTTTAAACATGACCAGATCAAAATGGAATATCTGTGTGTGTGACACTGGTTGAAATTAACTGTTGCAGAGTAAAGAGTCACCTTCAGTCAGTTTCTCGATGAGCACAGTGATGACGTGAGCAAAATCTGTCTGTATGTATGTAAAGTTTAATTTATGAGTCAGTACAAGTCCCAGTTGTTAACAGAGTGAAAATGATATAGGGGGAAGTTAATTTTCAGCAAATGACCACTCGTCTGTGGGGAGGAGCCTGAAAAGCATCACTGGCTATAGGAAACCACCTGCTTCAAATGCTCCACCATCATCCCAGTCCCCATGAAAACCCCCATGAGTGGACTGAACGACCACAGATCTGTCGCCCTGACATCTGTAGTCCTTTGAAAGACTGGCGTTGAAGGACATCGTAGACCCCCTGCTAGTTAACATGGCACTGCCTTACATCCTGCAACACCATGACTCCCCAGGGACCTATGCACGGTCCCTCTTTGTGGACTTCAGCTTGGCATTCAACACCATCATCCTGGACATCCTCCACTCCAAACCGACCCAGCTCACTGTGCCTGCCCTCACATGTCAGTGGATTACTAGCTTTCTGACAGACAGGAAGCAGCAGGTGAGGCTGGGAAAACCACATCCAGCACCCAGACAATAAGCACAGGCGCCCCCCAGGAATGTGTGCGCTCCTCTCTGCTGGTTTCACTCTACACCAACAATTGCATCTCGAAGGACCCCTCTGTTAAGCTCCTTGAGTTTGCTGATGATACAACGGTCATTGGTCTCATCCGAGAAGATGACGTGTTGGTCTACAGATGGGAGGTTGCGCAGCTGGTCCTGTGGTGTAGTTGCAACACCCTGGAGCTGAACATGCTCAAAACAGTGGAGATGACAGTGGACTTCAGGAAGGAGGGTGGAGAGCATCACTACTGACCCCTCATATCTGGGACACAATCTGTTCAAACTCCCCTCCTCTGGCCGGTGTTACAGGTCACTGTGTGCCAAGATAACCAGGCACAGGGACAGTTTCTTCCCCCAGGCCATCACTCTGATGAACACTTAACCCACAATGGTATGACTGCTCAGTAATCCTCGTACATATAGATTCGTAAAATGCATCTAGACTGTGTGTATATATACAGGTCTCTATTTATAAGTACTCTATTTTTATTCCTATTTATCTCATTGCAGAATGAGCACTCCTTTGTCTCTGCATTGTTTACTGCCTGTTTATACTGCTTATTTTGCATTGTTTGCACTGTTTGTTGCTGCTAATACTGCTTATTTTGTTATATTACACAGCCTTATGTTGGTTTACTGTTTACTTACCCATTGCATGGGGATATTAACATGCACATTGACAGCCGATGTACCAGAGTCAAATTCCTCGTGTGTCTGACACACATGGCCAATAAAGCAGATTCTGATTCAAAGTCTGGACCCAGATGGCAGGTGCGATACTGATCACAAACTTTATTGCACTGAGAAAACAAGTTATGGAGATAACAGTCAATATGCTGGAAATGTCCGCCAGAGGAGGCAGAGCTCGAGGGGTCCACAGATGGGGAGCTGGAGGTGGCTATGCAGGGCACATGGAGGAAACGAAGACAAGCTCAGACAGGTGAGTATAGCTGGTGAACTCAGCTGGGGGAGATGGCTGGGCTCGAGGAAGATGAAAGATGACTGGCAGCAGGTCACTCAGGCAGACGCTGAACGGAGAGAGTCAGGGGTGCAGATTGATGGAGTAATCATGGGAAACCAGTATAGTCAGAAGCCAGGACCTGTAACAGAGAATCAGAAGAGAAGAAAATGAGAGAAGGGAGAGAGGCAGGTGGCATAGAGCAAACCTGACAACCTGTACATCTGTATTCACTTCAATGCCACAATTGTGTTTATGAAACTCAAAATGTTTCAGTTTTTGGTGAGAATCTCATTAAAGTATAAATTCTATTATATGTTCATTATTGAGGTCATAGTTAAAGGTGGTGGTGTAATGGACTACATTGTATTCAGAGTTGTCTGTATATTTTTGTCCTGCCCATTCACATACATGAGAAGGTCAGAATATTACGATCACCTCTGAATATAATTAAGTTCAGTACAACAGCACCTTTAACATTTTGAGCTTCATAAACACAGATGTTAAGGCAGAAGTGTTGCACTGAAGTGCATACAATTGTACAGCTGTACCTAATAAAGTGGCCAGTGAGTGTACATATTCATGTTATGCAATCTTATTTTATATTCAGCATGAGTACTTCTCTACTTACAAAGTAAAGCACAGGGCAGGATCAACATTCTGTGTCTGAGAGGAAACAATATTTTAATATCTGCTGTACATGTGTAAATATGCAATAAGTCACTGCAGTGACCGTAGAGCTAGCCAGTATTCAAAAACAAAGCAGGAAAATAAGCTAAATATATAGTTGGCAAAATTCTGCTCCCTCTTAGTACCAGTTTGGCTGTAAATATTTTTTCCTGTAACTGTCAATTAGCAAGAGCTATCATAAGAACACAAGAGTAGTTATGACACTGTAAGAGTCAGAGTCAGACATTTGCGAGTAGCAGCTGTTAATCATGGCCTGCACGCACATTACCTTATTACCTTATGCAGGAGTGTGGCTTGTGCTGTAGTTAGCAGCAATGACATTGTGGGAAAAAGCAATAAGTGAGCTGTCTCAACTTCCAGTTTCAACTCCCATTTACCACGTATGCTGCCATGTGAATTACTCTGTAAAGTCACATTTAGTGCTACATTATATTTATCCATTAAACCTTCAGTTAACATGCTACCATTAGCTTAGCGGTTCACATTAACAACGTTGCTAATGAGCTAATAGTTAGCTTGTTAATGAGCTTACCACAAATAGTTCCGTCTTTGCCTTCATACTGTTGTGGCATTGAGTTACATATAAGCAAGAAGCCAGTTGTGTCATTTAAACCACCCAAGTTGAATTTTTACCGTAAAAAAATTAAGTGCACATTTATGGCGCCAGATCACTTTCTTTATTATTCGAGCACATACACAAATTATTCGAGCACATACACAATTTAAACAAGCACAGGATCAGGAATTGTGGGTGTAAAAATTTAAAACCGCCCTCTGTTCGAGTTTTCCTCGCACTCGTTTTTTTTCCTCTCTCTTCAAAATTGACCGCTCTCTCTTCTAGTGCTCGTTTTTTTTCCCAAACCGGAAATACGTCATGGGTGTAATGCTCGACAAGATGATTGCTGAATCGAAGTGGTCTGCCTACTTCCTAAGGGGCTAAGGGCTAGGATTACAACACAACGGGAAATCAGAGAATGCTGTGCTCTAGTTCTCACCGACATCTGACCTTCTGACAGAGTTTCAGACTCCACGATTCAGCTACAAACAC